CACGCACACACACACACACACACACACACACACACACACACACACACCCACACACACACACACACACACACACACACACACACACACCCACACCCACATAAAGATAATCTACACTAACCTTTCCACCAATAAAAGCGGCACCTTCATCCAAAACAAAGAAGATTTAAAAAAAAAAAAAACCCTTAAACACACAAGAGCCGCTGACAGATGTAATTTTCCTCCCCCTTAATTCCCACAAAAACGGCACCTTCATCCAAAACAAAGAAGATTTTAAAAAAAAAAAACCCCTTAAACACACAAGGGCCGCTGACAGACGTAATTTTCCTCCCCCTTAATTCCCACAAAAATAAAACGGTAAAAACCGCCCCCGACAAAAGAACCCCCACGCACACCACAAGCACTAAACAGACAAAGAAACTCTAATAAAACCAAAAACCTCCACCACTTGCACAAAACGTCACAAAAATAGCACCACGCCAAGCCGTCACCTGAACCTGATGGCCAAAAATCTGAACGTCACCAACAGACAAAAGCACACTCCAAAACAAAGACACTGACCGCCATAGCTCCCGCGCATGCAACAGCTACCCCCACCACTTGCCCCCTGCCAAAAAAACGTGAACTAAAACGAACAAAACTTCCGCACAACGCGGACGCCACGCGGTCACCCTGCCAGCAGCACCCGCTCATACAGCGCACGACGCACGACAGATCAACTGCGGTCACCATCACCCGCCACACCACTCCCCAGATACCCCCCAACCCCGCAAAAAAACATCCTTCCCCCGCCCACCCACCCACCATGGCCATGCTTTCCTTCTCCACCCCTTCAATGTACCATCCCCACACCTCAACCACACACACACACTCACCCCCCTATGACTCCAACCATGCTTCTCCCCTCACCCGCACACACGCGCCTAAACTCCCACCCACTATGTATCCCCAGGCCTCCCAACCTATACTTAACCACCTGTCCAGCCAATGGGTTCCTCATCTTCCTTGCTCACCACAAGGACGGACCCACTGTTGGCGAACTTCTCTCTCCCCCCTTCCTTTGATACCTCTCCTATACTCTGTACCAAGGCTTGGGTTCTCTTCCCACCATAGCCCAGTCCAGCTAGAAGGTCTCCAACTTCTATTCCCATGCTGCCACCATCTACCTACTTCACAGTGAGTGTGTAGATTGCGCAAGCAGCAGGTGAGATACCAGTCGACAGACACAGGCACTACAAAGCCCTGGCACTGTGACCGGTCAAGGGCTACGTGTGACCCTCTACTACGAGGACTATGGCGGCCATGGACGAGATCCTCCATGATGCTGACATTCACGAGCATGTGGTGAGTAGTTTTTTGACTCCTCCTTCCTTCCACATGCCCTCACCCACATCACCTAAACTGGAGCCAGAGGACACACCACCCTCTGATGAGCCGTGACAGGCGGAAGCGGCGAAAAGCGCTTTAGGGGATGCGCCACCCCTCCTCCGTTGGTTACAATGCCAGCGTATGATGGCTTCGCCATCAATGCTCCAAAAATCTCCCCTTTCTTCTTCCCCTCTCCTTGCTGTGCATGAAAAAGGCTTTTCTGCAGGTTTGATGGTTTGTGGCTCAAAGTGGAGAAGTGCCTCATGACATGAAGAGCAAATGATAGGTAATGTGGACAATTTGGTTTCCGTATTCGGGCTGCTTTGTTCAATTGC